TAATTAATTATGCGAATTAGGTAATTCATATGTACTGATATTACCATAAAAACTATCAGGTCTGTGCAGTGTCATATGACATCTATGTACCAAGTTTCATTGAAATGTGATGATTAGTACTTGAGATATCAGTAGAAAAACTGAAAATTGACTAATCATTATGCAAATTAGGTAATTAGTATTCACGGATTATTACCAAAAACTAATCAAAACCTAGCATTAGTTCAGAGCATCTATGTACGAAGTTTTATCAAAATCCAATGAGTGGTTGTTTAGATATCAGTGGAACAGTCATGCAACCGCTAAAAATTAGCTAATTATCATGCAAATTAGGTAATTAATATGCACGGATTTTTACCAAAAACTAATCAAATCTGCACATATGTTCAGAGCATCTATGTACCAAGTTTCATCAAAATCCAATTAGTGGTTCTTTAGATATCAGTGGAACAGTCATAGAACAGCTAAAAATTAGCTAATTATCATGCAAATTAGGGAATTAACGAGCATGGATTTTTACCAAAACCTAATCAAATCTGCGCATTGGCCCAGAGCATCTATGCATCAAGTTTCATCAAAAACCGATGTATGATTCTTGAGATAGCAGTGGAACAGTCGGACACACATACACACACACACATACTTGTATTGCTATATGTTCCGAGGACTTAACTTTTAATATAGTTGCGATATGAACTCGATTAAAACGCGTTCCTATATAGGGTTGAGTTTTAATTGGAGTTTAATTAAACTCAATTACAATGCAATAAAATGGAGAATTGCATTTTAATTAAGTTTAATTAAACAAGAGTTGAATATCCCGTGACTGAACATAGAAATGTTTGCGAAGCTTAGGTTTACTATCGGGGTAAGGTATGGTACAATTATATTAATATAACGTGAACCATACCTTCCCCCGATACTAAACCTAAGCTACGCAAAACGTATTAATAATCGAATTAACTATTAATATAAATTATGTTTTCCGAGAACTATGAAAAAGGTCCTCGGAAGGTGTGTATGTCCTCGAAGTTGTTATATATCTGTATTTTTGTCCTCGCAACATATAGCAATCCAAGTACACACACACACACTAACTGCAAAGACTCCCATTATGTACTTCACACATGGGAGTCAAAAACAAGCAGCCTGTCGGCTGAGATAGCTCCGCTGTTAGCAATGCACATTTCAATTAAAGAACTGAAGCTATCATTAGCAAATGAACAATATGTATAGTATCAAAGCAATCGGACTTGCTGTATTCAACAAGCATTCGAAAATATCAGTTTTTACCAAAAAAGACAAAATTAATCATTAAAATTAGAGAATTGAAGATATCATCATAAATGAACAAAACTGAGAGAGGTTTACCTGTAGTACCTATATATGTAATAGCAAAGCAATCAGACTTAGGGTTTTCAACAAGAAGTCGAAAATATCACTTTTTACCAAAAATTACAAAAATATTGACCAAAATTAGAGAATTAAAGATATAATCACAAATCTAAGTGTAGTACTTGTATGTATAATATCAAAACAATTGGCCACACAATTTTCAACAAAAAGTTGAAAATATCACTTTTTTCAACAAATGATAAAAATAATCACCAAAATTAGAGAATTAAAGATATCATCATGAAATGAACAAATCTAAGTGAGGTCATCCAAGTTACATATACACCAAATTTCAAATCAATCAGGCATGTGGTTTTCAAGAAGAAGTAAAAAAGTAGCAAGTTGACTCAGACGATGGACGCCAACAGACAATCACTCATATGATAAGCTCCGCTTGACAAACTGGAAAGAGGAGCTAAAAAGAATGTACCTGTATAAACTTGTGTAACTTGAGCATTATTCAAATTAAGTAGTTTTTGTAATGCAAGAAAGAAAACATAGTTGGCACAGTTAATTGTATGTGGAATGCCATATATGTTGTGAGCAACTGGAATTCCACGTCGCAATTTTGAGTTGTCTTCAATGTCATCAATTCTGAAAAAAAATTAAAATATTAGAAAGAATAAGAAAAATGAACATATAGCAATGGACAAATCTCAGTAACCCCCTTCAATTTATTTATTTAAGGTAGAGATGCAGTTTACCTGACAGGTATTTTAATTAGTTAATTAGGAAACCAAAATGACCTCCCTTGTCCACAAAACTATATATTTTCGGAAAGCTTATTGTATGAATTTTAAAGTTTTGTTTTTTATGGACACTGTAGTTTGAAATATGCACAAAAATGGCTTTTTTGGACAAAAGTGATTTAAAAACAATTAGCTGCTAAACCATGCTTCTGTTTCCTGTCAAAATTGGTTTATGGGTACATGTGTTTACTATGAAGAAAGCGCCGTCTTGAAAACTGTCTACCAGTTGTCAATTTTGTAGGGCAGCAGCTCAAATTTCACTACCGGGTACTTCAAGTTTATGCATAAATTAACACCCAGGCTAGTTGTCTGTACGATTGCTGTAACACTATTCAACTAAAAACAATGCCCCGATGGCGTTTTGAAGATAAACACATTGTCAATCATTTGTGAAAATTTCAAAAGAAAAGGTCAAAGCATCTAGGAGCTATTTTTTTTTAAAGTTCTGGAATGTGCACTAAAAAGGAAGCTGAGATAATTGCTAATTTGCATAACAATTCACTCAGTAAGAAGTTTGCTAATGCTCATAATTAAAATGGCTGTTACAGTTTCAAATTTAAATGTATTATCGTTTTGTAAAAAGTTAAATACAGTGCATAATATGGAGATCCCGTCATTTATTTTTTTCACCATGTTTTTTTTTATATTATTTATGTACAGCCTTGCTAAATCTTGCTAAGCATTCAAAAGAGATAATTTTGCACCTGTTATTGAGTATGTTCCACTATTCACAATTCTACACAATTTCAACAGTCTATAGCCAAGACTTTTTGGATAATAAAAAGCAAAAAAAAAAAATGTCACTCCAAAGTGCCCACGATCCTGCATCTCTACCTTAATTAAAGACTAAGTTTTTCAGAGAAGGTAATTAGCATATTTACACCAATATTGACAGTAAAGCAATTGTGATCTAAGACCAAATACCTAACAAATATTACAATAAAGACAAAAATAATAGGGAGAATTTGAACTTTAAAGCTTGAACATATATATAAGCAAGTTAATAATGAAATTAAATCGGCACCGTATTAGAAGATATAAACACCCCAAAACTCCACTTGCTGAAAGGCTATGCAAAACATGTAAACCATTTTATTACTTTCTATAAACTTTACTCATCTGAAAGAACATCAGTGTTTGTCAAATTTGATAGAGTGAGCTAAAATTTCCATGAATTACAATGTAGATAATTGACAACAATTTACAACGATTATAAATACATCAAATCTACATTTACTGAAAAAAGTGATAGAACACATAAAAAGTGCAAATGAAAATTGAAAAATGTCAGAAACTTGCTTAACATACTGGCTCTTCTAAATACTATCTATTTTAAAGTGTCAGCCTGTATTCATTTATGACAAGAGTGGTGATTTGCAAAAATATTATGTATTCTGCTTCTCAAATTTTATCCTTGGTTGAACCCCTCCCCTCAATACTAAAACAACTCACAGTAAACTAGCATTGTGAAGCATCTGTACAACTTCACCAATCACATGTAACTTCTCTTCAGGTATATTCAACCAGTGATTAAAACCCTAGAAAGAAAGTGAAAAATATGAGAATAGAGTGATTAATATGGCAAAACCAGACTATTATCAGATCCATAGCAAGCAGCATAGTCGTACGTTCTAGGCATGTACCACGAAATCTATCCATGCATGCTCAAAATCTGGCAGAAATGCATGATTTTGTTGCATATTTAACAATAAAATCAGTTGGTCATCCATAGTTGTCCCCAACTGAGTTTAACTTTAAAACTGGGTTCAATTATATTTGATTGAAATTAAAAAACAAAGAAGAATGTAAAGATGGCAACTGTAAAATCATTTTATAGCTGAAAGTCATCCAGTCTTATATTGAATTTAGTGAGAAAGTCATTTCTCAAACAATCAAACCATTTAAATAGACTTATTAAAAATTAATACCAAATTAACTGTGTTTATTTGATGCAGCCTAATCGTTAAAATAAACTGGTGCAGAATCTAAACTAAATTAGCTTGAATAAAATTCTATTAAAATATAGATACATCTTACTTGTGTTAACTTCATGCGAATTTCTTTTCCAGGAACTTGACGAAGGTAATGAAACGGTTCAAGTAATATCTAAAAAAAATTAAAAAATCAAAGAAAGCTTAGAAAGAACTCCTGTGTGCTGAGAGTATTGAGGACACATTAAAAATTAATTCAAAATTACTTGTACATGAGATATTGATGGAATAGCTGAAAACTAATTATGTAAATCAGGTAACTAATATGAACAGAACAGAACAAAAAAATTTATGCTAATTTGAGAATTAATATGAAAAAATTTTAACCCAAAATTAATCAGGCTGTCTATTTATGTACCAAATTTTATTCAAATGTGATGATCAGTAATTGAGATATCATGTATTAATTATGTTAATTAGATGATTAATAAGCATAAATATTTACTAAAAATTAATTGGGTCTCTGCATAGTTCTCTTTAAAAGTTTCATTAAAATCCAACTCGTGGTTCTTTATATATCAGTGGAACATTATGCAAATTAGGTAATTAATATCCAATTAAAAATAATCAGGTCTCTGCATAGTCCTATAAGATCTATATAGCAAGTCTCATTGAAATATGATGATTAGTACTTGAGATATCAGACGAAAAGCTGAAAATTAACTAATTGTGCTGATAAGGTGATTAATATTTTAAAATATTTACCCAAAAGCTAATCAGGTCACTGCACAGTCCTTAAGTAACTATGTAGCAAGTTTCAGTGAAATGTGATAATTACTACTTGAAATATCAAAAGCTGAAAATTAATTAATTATACATATTAGGTAATTAATATGTACTAATATTACCTTAAAAACTATCAGGTCTGTGCAGTGTCC